TAGCTGCTATAGCTCTTCATTTGCCAGGTGAGCATTGATGGAAAGAACAAGAACGGATGGACCCCATTGATGTGGGCTGCCATTGTGGGAAATACGGAGTGCGCCGATCTCCTCATTCAAGCAGCATGTGACATCTACGCGCGGGATGATGCTGGGACTGGAACATGCCACCATTCATGGGCTGTCGGTGATTTGAAGTTGGTTTGTGTTCTTAGCGCTTACCTGAGACTGCTCATTAGTAGGCAGGGGCAACATGCGCATCAATAGACCACTCAACCTCGATGTCGATGGGGGCAGGTCAAAGCCCACACGGTGTTTGTTAACACAGGTCACGAAAGGTACAGTAGCCTGGTAAGGGCCACATTGAGTTTGCTTTGCGAAGCGTAGCTTGAACAGCCTGCTCGTGACCAAATATTGATATATCAATTCTATTGACCCCACCCCCCCATACTGATGAATGATTTATTATATAATCAATTATTTTGGTGAACCCCCGCTCGCCAGCACCACTCGCATCACCTACCATAGCGTGACGTCCATTCACTGGCAGCAACAGCAGTGCCCCTAGAATGAGGTTGCACAACATGGCTTCGACACACGGCATGCACACCTGCGGTCTTTACAAAGCGCATGCAGCTCTGGGACCACAGCTCTTACACATGCCAGCGTTTACATGCCGCAACTGTTATGCAAGCCAGCGTTAACACCATTACACCATATTGCTCTTCACAAACTAGCGTTGATGCAACACAGCCTCCACGCAAAGCCGTGTTGGGAAACCTCACCACGCCGCAACTCTTACGCAAGCCAGCGTTCACACACACACACACACACCAATTGCTCTACACAAACAATCGTTGACGCAACACAGTCTCTACGCAAAGCCGTGTTGACAATCCGCACCACACCACATGCTCTAGCAGCCTCTGCTCGCGACCCAGGTCACTCTTGTGCGGAGCGCGCGCGCGACATACAACCGCACATGCGCAGCACAATTTGGCACCAGGCAATTCTTACACACCACAGCTCTTACACACACCAGTGTTGACAAACCTCCATGTGCACCACACCACACCGCATGTAGGAACCCCTCCTCACGACCCCAGCCACTGTTAAGTGTAGCGGCGTAGCGTGCATGCGACATACGACCGCATTTGCGCAACACAGATTTACCACCAGGCAGTTCTTACACACCACAGCTATTACACAGCCCTGTTGCGTTTATACTGCGGCTTTCATATATTCCTTGTGACTCTCTACCTTTCGTGCTTCCCTGTCTCAAGTTGTAATGAGCTGTGGACTGCACATGGTTGAATTTAGTATCGACTCATATCCTTGGCACCAAGGAGAAGAGCATGACAGCCTTGATGTGGGCAGCCAAGCACGGCCATCAAGATATTGCCAGGCTTTTGCTGATCCTTGGTCCCATGGGATGATAATACACGCACGGGTGTGCATGGTGTCGGCTCAAACTGTTTTAGGCTCCCAACTTTGGTAGTACATTTGCCCAATGAGTACCGGCGCTCGCTGCACCATGCTGGGGTCAATGTGTTGACTTGATGCGTTATGTGTCCTCTTGGTGCCGGGCGTAGGAGACATCCACAATGATGTGGAAAAGTAAAAAGTGCCTGCTTTGAAGCTCGAAAAAGGCTGTTTCAGAGCCACAACGGTGTTCCCAAAGAGCTGATACAGCCGTGCAAAACAATAACTATGGACTCCAGACACTCGAAAAGTGGAACAAAGATGAACACCCAAGACACTACGAAGTGGCCATACACCAGTCACCGTGGGTCATAGTTGGGGATCAGCCAATAATTCGCCTGGCATGATTGGCCTGGCGCTGCAGGGCTGTCGGACACTTGAGGACTGGGTTGAATCATGTTCATCCTCGGACTCATGTTGTTTCAGGAATGCTGGTGAGCACACTGGCCGAAAGGATCAGCGCGGCTGGCTAGCTGCTGACCATGCACAAAACCATTCAGCAATGCTGACCCTGCTGGAGGCGGGTGCATGTAGTATGCAGGGGTAGGAGAGGAGTGCTTCAACAGTGGTAAACTACGCACTGTCAAGCGTAGATTGAGGTATGGACAATGCAGTCAAGAATCATGCAAAATAGTGGTTAAAAAGCAGTATGATATGTTCACTTTAAGGCGACCGTTGCAACCGTCAGAGGACAGATGATGTCCAATTGCCAAGTTTCGCAAGGGCCTTTTCGCAAGTTCGGACAGAATGCCAGGCCGTCACTCGTGTAAATCAACGCATGTTGTCAGCTGCCCAGCGGAACGACGAGGAAGAAGTGGCCGTATGCCTCCGTGAGCCTCAACGGGAAAGGATGGAACACCAGGTGGACCGAGTTTTTGCCGCACGGTCACCCGTCGCAGTCGCCAGTTTGTCAAAGAGCCCACCAAGAATTGCATCCCATGAAATCGGCTGGTCACCTTAGCGAGCGTGGTGGTTTACCCAGACAAACATTTGTGTCTTTCAGTACCCAGAGGCATCCAGAGGCAAGACAAAATAAATCGAGCGAAGTACTTATATAGTTAGTGTGCATTTGTCCCAGGATCGTCCCCTAATTTGAGCCGCTTCAAGTTCTTGGTGCACCACACAGGTACGTGGACCAAGTCTGCCCCCGCTCAGGAAGGCGCGCAAGTGAACCACGTTGACGCTGAGGGCCGCAGCGCTTTGCTTTGGGCGGCTGTCCATGGATCAGCGACTTGGATTATGCTGGGAACATGTGCGACTGTGCCACCCTTTAGCAACTTTAGCATATTTCAGTGGACTCCAGCAGACTCAGCGCCTTCGATGTATTCGAGGTTAGCGATATGTGCAGGATCCAGATCGTTTTGCTGTCCTCCTTTGGGGGTGATTCTGATGAAATCTGAATGATTCTGAGATTCAAGACTTGAATTTTACAGGTGGGGAAATTAGAATTGGTGGATCTGTGGATTTGTATCACAGACAATTTGGCTCAAGACCGGCCACTAGTCACTACTCGTTTGCTTCTCTATCCTTCTCGTGTGGCTCCCATGGCGGAAGTGGAGAAAGACAGGGTCAGGGCTGAGAGCGGGAAACCTGACATGGAAGAGAAGGTGAAGAAAATGATGGAGTTGAACGAGCTTCGAGAGAAGTGGTCGGACAAGCTTTTCCAGGACAACCCCGATTCAGTGAACTCCTTTATGGTCACTATGGACGAAAACAACATGCCTGCCATTGAAATTGGTGTGGATCCGTCTGCAAGCCAGGAATCCCTGGCTGTACCTGAGGAGCTCTTTTCGGAGAATCTAATTTTCAGGACTGTGGAAAGGATGCGTGATGCAGGGCCTTTGATCTTGGATTTGGAAGATGGTGCCGGCCTGAAACGGGCATAGTGGCATAGGGGATGGAGAGTGGAGAGGGAGAAAGCGAGCTGCTTTCGGCCATCCAGAAGAACTTGATTGAAAGTGGACTGGCCCAAGGGCTTTGTACAGATTGGTTGCCCGCTGCTCTAAGCCGAAAAGACAGAAGTCGGTCCGGTGCTGGAAGTCTACGACACCTTTCCCAGGTATTACCCATGGGCCCTCTGGGTATGCTAGTGCTAGTTTGGTCCGGCAGCCTTTTGGTCACTTAATTAAGAGGGTTTCATATGGGGTACACTTTGAGCTGATTCATCCTCTTATCCACTTTATCCATCTTACCAAAGTCTTTGGCGGTTCCCTTATTTCGATACACAACCGACACAACCCATGTAATGGTGTGAAGAGGTGTCCCAGGTGTCAATGATGTCCCAACAAAATGTTTGTTGTTTGATCCGAGGTGACAATGTTGCACTTACTTTTCAGATTTGGAGCGAGTACCAAAGTGCTGGAAGCTTGCGTGACAGAGCTTGATAATGCCATCAATCAGCACCGAGCCTCGGCTTCCATCGGGGCCCGATGGTGCAAAATTGTGTTTGCCTGATAGTGTTCGGAAGCACGTTATCATCTACGTGGGAAAAAAGCACAGCAAGAGCAAGAGTAATTTGACGGGCTTGTTTCTTGCTGCTCAGTTCTTTCATGCCTAACTAACTAACCATGCGGTGTTGCTATTATATATATATATATACCTTGACCGCCTACGTTTGTCGCCCTTGCTACAAACGCAGCTAGAGAAACACTCTGCTGAAATGATGCTTTGTTTGGGTTTCTGCGGGTCTTTGAGGACAAGTTGTAGATGTACTGCAAGCGGCAGATGGTGCCAATGTGCCTTGATCGAACTAGCGGCAGATGGTGCCTTGAATTTCAAGAGACTGAAGCAGCGCGGGTGGGATTGGCAAGGCTGCGAGCATCGATATTTGCCAGCGCACGTAAGGCACGCCTGCTGCATTCTGCATCACTTGCAGATTGGCCGGGTGTCCGATTGGCGTGCCAGCCTCAGCAATCGATTCTCATGTGGTGCAAGAGCCTGCTTTAGGATACTTGCTGCAGCAAGTGCAGCACCACTGAGGCTAGAGCAGTGCGCCTTCGAGGGGGCCCCAGACGCTTTGTGATGTTTTGCCCTGAAAGCATTGTTGCACAAGTTGATGACAAGAGTACCGATCCTTGATCAAACTTGATCAAATAGCCGGAGGATGAAATGACAAGCAACAATAGCCAACAATCAAGGAACAACTGCAATCAAGCACGGGCTCAAAAAGTCTTCTTTGACCGCGAGGGAAAAGCGATCATGGCGAATCGCTTCCCACTTGCACTCCTGTTTCTTTTCTCTTATCGCGCAAGCTACGTGGTTGGGTTCACCGTTTACGGAGCCCGAGTCAACACAAAAAAATGGGAGCGTGGAGCTGTTGACAACAAATTCAGATGAGGGCACTTTGGTAGAGTGCATCACCGACTTTCTTCTACTGGCCAAGGACTCTGCTTCAGGTAGCAATTTTTCGGGTGCTTTTACTCTCGAAGCCCAGTGCTCGGGAGATTGCCACTTGCTTTTTAAATCATGCGCCAGTGTGGATTCCAAACTCCCTTGGTCAGACCGAGTCTGGTTTGGCCATGCTCAACGCGGACATTTTCCTCAAAGGGTTCACTCACGAGACCTACTTTGTGAACACCTTGCACGAACTGCGTGTTTACGAAAAAGATCCTGCAGCACAAATCCGCACTTATCTCAGAGTGTGGATTGAACCAAGTGCTGTGGACGTCTCACAGCAAGAAGAGGAAGACTGGGCAGTCATGAACCTCCACAAGGTGTCATGGGTTGTCAAAATCCATCCAGAAGAAGCTTCCAGGAGACTCCAAGGATGGGCACGTCGCTATGCCGCAGATACAGTGCCTAGTCTTATCAAAGGCAATGCTTCGCATCCCTACTCCCAACTGCATCGAGCAGCTCTTGGGCAAGCCTTAGCCTTCTTCATTCACGACCAGGGAGGCAGGCTCCAGTATGATACCATGCGAAATGAGCAAAAACGCCGTGCAGATTCCCTGCGTGCTCATTTGGATCAAGTAGCCAGGCCCATCCTTTTTGAAGGCCTGGAGAAAGCCATTCACGTGGTAGAGGCCCAGGGGATCCAAATGATTCTGGCACCAACTGAAAAGGCCTACCGCAAGGTTGAAGATGACATCGTGGAGATGCCCTTGGTGGACATGCTTGCGATTTATGGAGCGGATGATAGTGCCGTGACAAAAACCATCAGATCAACTATCAGTGGCGGCGTCAGCTTTCCAAGCATGCCGCCGATCCGCTTGCAATCTTCACCAGCACCTCCAACACCTCCACCAGAAGCGGGCTTTTGCCCTTGGTGCGGAGGAACAGGCCAAACACTGCGCACTTGTCCTTGGAGTGGACAATTAGTGACAGAAAATTGCCCCACTTGTGGCGGATCAGGCCTTGGAACTTGACTCGGCCCATCACACCGCGCCCTTTGAAGTTCTCCTTTGTGGCCTGCCGACGAGTTTTTGAGTGCGGAAAGAGCCGCTATGGTTTGCGATATTTTACGATATTGACCTAGCTGCCATGTTTTTGCTCGGATCTGGAGCCAAAAACAAACATGGTCTGTAGGTGTATATATACTGTCGTATTCCAACAAAGACATTTAGAAAGTTGAGAGATTGGCTTCCAAATGGCTCCCGGCTCCCAACTTTTTCATCTAGCAAACGTGTGTGTGTGTGTGTATGAAACCCTTCGAGTCAGAGGGCTTCCGTTGAAGTATTTGCTTTTAGCAGGGGCAGTAGCCCGCTCATGAGTCTACTGCCAACGAAGCTGCTCACGAGTTGGGAGGATATCGGAGCTGATCACTCCGACGTACCTGCTGAGTTGTGGTGTTTACAAGCGGTCACTCCCATCTTCTTTAAAGGGCTAGTGCACTCTGCAGACAAGAGCAGTTGCCGTCACTTCAACCTGTTCGTGGTTTCGCTACATCGTGGAGTTGGACCTCTTGGCCTTTTAACTATACAGGTGTTCAGATCCCCTTTCATGATTTCTTACAAATAAGGGTGCCTAGGTTGCCGTGTGGCGAGTGGCATTCAGTTCCGTACGCAAAATCCCAAGTGTGTTTGACTTTTGTGTCAGCCCAGGGTGTAAGTGTCCCCTGTGGCCCCGTCGAACGGGGGTTTGTCTTTGTTTCCCTTGCTCTGGAAACGCGCGTGCCCTCAGCGGGCGGTGAGTAGGCTTGTGCCAAAGTCACTTGCCAAGAATTGATGAAGTATTGAATACAAGTAGGCAGCCTTCGGGCACGCCACGAGCCTTATTTGCGCACACAGCACGTACTGATTATTCAAGGCAGGTCTTCCTAGGTTCTTTAACAAGGTTTGACGTCCTTGTTTTCGGGCCTCTCCATTTGGTTTCCGCTTTCGTCCGTTTCCCCTTTAAACTTTACACACTGCTTGTTCCTCTTTTGTTTCATGTCTTTCTGTCTTCATGTCGTGGCACCTCACCTCATCCTTTCCCTCTTTGCCCACACATTGGTTCGGCCCTTAGCGTACACGCGCACTAAACCCAGGTCTGAGGTTGCCTAGGTTGTTATAATGAGGTCTGCCTCATTTGGTTGTTCCTGGTCACTTGGTTCCGCTTCATCGCAACCACATACACCTGGTCTGTCTTGTCCTCCTTTCATGTCGTCATTCGATTGTCTTGTTTGCGCGCACGCATGCACATTAGTCTTAACCTTAGTGTTTTTTTGCCTCCCCAATCACAAGGCGTGTGTGTGAAACCCTTGAGGGCTTCCGTTGAAGAATTGCTTTTAGATGCTTTTAGCAGGGGGGCAGTAGCCCGCTCATGAGTCTAATGCCAACGAAGCTGCATCACTCCAACGCGCCTGCTGAGTTGTAGTGTTGACAAGTTGGCACTCTCATCTTCCTTAAAGGGCTACTAGCACTTGTGTTAAGTCGTTTGGTCTTGTAGACAGTCGTCCGGATGCTGCGTTTACAATGGGGTTAGATGCAAGATGGCAATATAGCTGGAAGAGTGTCAGGTCAACAACATTGGTTGGATGCTGCGTCTACATGCGGTTTAGGTGCAGGCAATCTATGTTTAGGGGCTAATCTTCACGATGGTCCTAACCTTGCGTTCCGATTGGGGCTTGGTCACCAAACGCTGCAAACTGTGACATAAATCTAGTTCTTTCCTGCACAGGGGCAGTGAATTCTTTTGACAAACATACTTCCGTAGAGCGCTTACATTGTGTTTTAACATAAAACAGGTGACTTTTCGCAAGCCGGGTGACTTTTGACTAATGCTGCGTTTACATGCGGCCGGGTGACTTTTTGCAAACCGGGTGACCAAACCCCAGCGCTAGTAGTGCACTCTGCAGACAAGAGCGGTCGCCGTCACTTCAACCTGTTCGTCGTTTCGCTACATCGTGGAGTTGGACCTCTTGGCCTTTTAACTATAAAGGTGTTCAGATCCCCTTTCATGATTTCTCAAGAATATGGTGTTCGGATCCCCTTTCAAGTGTGTGCGTGTGTGTGTGTGTGTGTGTGTGTGTGTGCGTGCTCGACTCCGAGGTCAACACCCGCGACGCAGGCTCATCCAGGGGGTTTTGATGTCGAAGCCTTTATTACAACAGGAAAGTCCATAAGTCACTCCTGTTGGATCCATCTCCTTCATGGCTTGCCCATCTCGGACAATCTTTATCAGTGGAATCTCAGGAAAATGTGTGAAAAGATGGAAGAACTTTGGCCAGACTGGCCGTGCTGAACACACAGACAGGGAGGATTTGGGAAGACCTGTGGGCAGTGCCAAGTCCTTCTGTGGTGGGTTGCCAGGTTGGATTGCATTGGAAATCATGGTGGAACACCGTCACAAATCCGGCACGTGGTTGGATTTACACAGTTCATCCCATAACTTAAAACAGGGTTTGCAGACGAATCCAGTGCCAAGCCAACTGGAATTTCTAAGCGTCTGGCTGCCAGTATTGCGAACGGTTTCTTTCAGGTGTATATATACATATATATTTAATACATACACAGTTCCCACCAGTACGTTCGAGAGGGATAGCCAGAGTTTTCATTTCACTTTGAGCTACCTTCATCTATGTGGCCTCAAACAATGGAGTTTCTCGGTTTAATCCTTGATTTGAAAATTTCCCGCCACAATCTCCCATCCGGACTGCCGTAACATCGCACAGACCATCGGACAGCCATAAGCTGGGCCGCCAGCAGGGGACTTAGCAGTTTCGCGCAGAGAATCAACCCCTTAAAGCTCCGAGGATCTCAAGATCGTATAGGAACCACAGAGACCATTGGTTTTGGTTAGACTAGTCAAATCGATCGAATTTGATCATTTCTGTTGAGTAAATAGTTTCTTGTTACCAGTAGCGGTGCCCTTTGCTACTAGTAGCTTCTTGCTACTACTAGAAATGCCAGGAGCTACTAGTAGCTTCTGTAGCTTCTTGCGACTAGTAGCGATGCCCGTTTTTACTAGTCACTTCGTGCCACTACTAGAAACTAGTAGCTTCTGTAGCTTCTTGCTACTAGTAGCCATGCCCTTTGTTACTAGCCGCTTCTTGCTACCAGTAGAAATGCCAGGAGCTACTAGTAGCTTCTTGTTACTAGTAGCGATGCCCTTTGTTACTAGCAGCTTCTCGCTACTAGTAGAATTTCCTGGAGCTAGTTACTAGTAGCTTCCTGCGTCTAAGCCAAATAATTCATTCTGTATGGCTTTCGGAGGTCGGCATATTTCGAGCATGTTCGGGGCACTTCAAGTCGATACGTCACGCGCTCGCCCGCGTGAAGTGAGTCAAACGTGGTGGAAGGCATCAAAGCATTCAGGTATTTAGAGCATATTAGAGCCTTTTTAAGATCCGCGTTCAGAATATGTGTGTATGTGTATGTGTGAAGTTATGTGTGAATATATCTATCATCTATCTATTTATTATATGTATGACACCTTTGGTATACATATAACATATATCATATATATATATATATATACACACGCGTCAACAAACTACAGTTTGTTCAGGTAACACCTCAGAGCAGGTGTTCTGAAGATCGAATATGCTTGTCCTTTTTTTGACTGAACGTTCAACTGTCATGCAAATGTTGAGAGCCGCAGGCCCGAGCATGACCCTGCTGCAGCCCTTGCAAATCAGAGATATGAGTTGTTTATATTTGTCCAAAGGTCTGACTGATAACAGGGTGTTGCATCAGCATCGGCGGCCTATGTTCAGGAGTTTTGACAGCCAGGGGCCTGTGCTGAAAGGACTGCTGACTAGTGAAACCTTTATGGTGGAAAGTGCGGGAACCGAACAGTTGGGTGTTGCCCTTGCTGTCCGTGAGCCAAAGGCTTTGGAGCTGCAGACATTATCCGTTTGCTGGCCATGGCCTGAGGTGGCATTGGCCAAAGCAGATTGTTGAGTGTTGCTGTATCCTATGCAATCTTTTGCTTACTTGAATTCGGATGTGGCTACAGTCTACAGGGCAAAGTTGATGTGTGTTGTCACATGTTGTGTTTTGGGGCCCGTTTGGGTGCTCAACCATGGACCCCCTCTTTCTTGGCGCCGAATTTTTTGGCACGACTTCCAAGGTCAAGCAGAAAGCACAGGTTGGGATGATGGATGTCGCTGGCCCAGTAGCAGCCCAGCGGCTCACCAATCCTTTGTCTAAGAATAAGCATCCATCAGAGACAGACAGACAGACAGACAGAGAGAGAGAGAGAGACTGAAAGAGGGACTGACTCTTGAAATTTGGCAGAAAGACCAATCACAGCATTGCATGTAACTGGTCATCAGTTCGGCAGTTATCTCAATTCTTGGGAACTTGAGAATGGGAACATATTGAATGTTCATATCCAAAACGTTTTGGGCCACATATTGTTGTGTGGGATTCACCTTAGGCCAAAGTGCCGTGGGGTGTACTCCTTGCAGTTGGGAAAAGGGTCACATGTTGCTGCTAAGCACTTTTTGAGGCCTTTGGTTGGCAACCCTTTCACTTTGCCGTCTCGGGGCGTCATGTCGAAGCTACAGCCTTGTAGGGCTCTCAGAAGTTCCATTTCCAGGCTTTGTTTGGAAGACGCCATATGAGTTGGGTTAGTTTTCATCACTAAAGGTGGGACTCGCTCCTCTACCCCTGTGCATTCTGTTGTAGCCGTTTGTTCCAGAGACGTCCAGAGAGAACCAGAGCGAAAGACAGGCAGACAAAAGTTTATGCTGTTTGTTGGTGTTTATCAATACTATACCAATTAGTGAGGTTCAAAACAATACAAGTACTACAAGACTTCCCAGCGTGAAAGGGCCACACACGTTTGCAGGTCTCATCAAGAAGCGCGACCTTTGCGCGGCCAGTGCAACAGGGATCTCCAAGCAGATAGAAATGTCGATCTCCTTTATACATGCAACAGGAACCATGAACTGAAATTGCAGCTGGAGCCCTCCTTTTTATTTGGGGACCACTATCTTCAGACTATATTCCTAGTGCTTGGTGTGCCGGGTGGCCACCTCAACGCCCTGAGGCTTTTTCATGCCAATGCTGCATTAGATGTCGAGACCTTCGAAGGCAGGTGAACAGCTTCGGTGGAAGCCTAGGCCGCAGGAAGATGGTCAGATCGTGACCATCTGAAGCTTCCCATGGGATCAGTGCTGTTGGGATGGTTGTTGAACAGCCATGTTCCTGTCACTTCAGAATTTTTTGTTTTATCAGCGGGGTAGAGGTGCTGGAAACCGTTTTGTTTGCCCAGCTATTGCTTGGTTCCAGAGGACAGTATGAGCAAACTCCATACAGCACGTAATGTTGCTTGCTGATAAAGAAAACTCTACCATCTCCGGGATGATCGTTCAGATCTCCAGTCCTGGCGGGTGAGTCCTACCATCAGTGAGTCAACAGTTCTCGGATACTTGTTGATCAGTCCTTGTTTGCCATCGTGAACAACACCCGTGGCTGAAGACTCGGGCCGAACTCGCGGCGGCGAACGCGCGAAGACGTTCGCTTGGGGGTCAGGCGACTCGCCACTCCAGATGGCGATTCAGGCTGATGATGTGGCGTGGCACGAAGATGCGAATCCACGAGGTATGGACAAAGCGATGGGAACAAGGTATGGACGAGTATTGAAGCTTCAAAAACCATGAGACTTGTTGATCTTGTTGCGAGTTGCATTTTGGTTTAACGATATCTTTACTGTATATAAATATTTCTGAAGGTTGAAATAAAGTCTCCTCACCAAGATCCGAGAATACTGGGGAGGCCCACTGTGGCGACCCCGGACTCTACAGCGTTTTTGGACCTCGTTTTTGGGGCCGCCGGCGGAGCATGTTTTAGCTGCTAGCGTTGTGATCCAGCTGTTCTGGCATGGTGTAATGATGGACGTTTTGCATGCTTGGTGCTTTTTTGTTGGTCGGCTGTTTGTTGTTCGTCCGTTTGGGTGGGTGGAAGGGGTGGCGTTGCGTGGTCAGTTGCATATTTGGTGGGTTGCGTGCGTCGTTGCGCGATGGGGCTTGTTACGTAGAATTTTCAGAACCATTTGCTGAGAAGTTATTTGTTTGGTCCCTTTTTCCGCGGGCATGTTTTGGGTTGCGAAGTTGGTTGGGCCGGATTTTTTGGCAGGGTGTTCGCCGCGTATTGGCGCAGGTTGGCAACAGA